TCATTTATTTACTTGTGAATGGGTTACTTTTCTGAAAGATTCAGGGCTCAGTCTTTAGCTCTTCCATGAATTATATATCCTCCTTGAGAGAACAGTTTTCCCGCCAAGGGCAGGGCAGGGTGGCACAGCTGGCTTAGGGGGTCTTTGTCTGGGACTCGGCAGTCTGCATGGGTCGTTGGTAGCAGGGGTAACTGGCCAAAAGGTGCCTGTTGGTGGACACACATGTCTCAGTTAAGTCCCTAATCAAGACCCACCTCTGGCCCTCACATTAGAGAGGGAAGAAGAGAGCCAGGGTGTTTGGGGCTGTAAATCAGGAGAAGGATAAAATAATTAAGGAATACAGTCTATTTAGGTTGGGAGAAGAGAGGAAGGTGAAAGAGTGTGAGGAGATCCTGTGCTGTGGGAGGGTATTTTACTCCTCCCTTGTCTGTGGAAGACATAAGCTTTTAGGAGTGTTGGTGCCATAGATGTTTCTGTTTCGTGGTTAGGGATGGTACCTAATGGCTCTAGAAGAATAGTTGGCGTGTGTCTTTACCCTCCCACTTATCATTTGTTCATTTGTCCATTCATCCGTGAATCTATTGAGCTGCCCATCATCCATCTGTCCAACCATCCATCCATCCATCTGTCCAACCATCCATCTACTCATCCATCCGTTTGTTCATCTATCTACCATCTATCCATCTGTTCATTTATTTGTCCATCTGCCCATATATTTATCCATCCATCCATCTGTCTGTCCATCCATCCATCCGTCCATCCGTCCATCCATCCATCCGTCTGTCCGTCCATCCATCCATCCATCCGTCCATCCATCCATCCATCCATCCATCCGTCTGTCCATCCGTCCATCCATCCGTCCATCCATCCATCCATCCATCTGTCTGTCTGTCCATCTGTCCATCCATCCATCCATCCCTCCATCCATCCATCCATCCATCCGTCTGTCCGTCCATCCATCCGTCCATCCATCCATCCCTCCATCCGTCCATCCATCCATCTGTCTGTCCGTCCGTCCATCCATCCATCCATCCATCCATCCGTCTGTCCGTCCATCCGTCCATCCATCCATCCATCCATCCATCCATCTGTCTGTCCATCCGTCCATCCATCCGTCTGTCTGTCCGTCCATCCGTCCATCCATCCATCCATCCATCCATCCATCCATCCATTCATCCACCTGCCCATCCCACCCATCCATCTACCCTTCATTAGCAGCACTTGTAGAATGGCCACCGGGCCCCACACACCATGCTAGGTGCTGAGGAAGTGAGGAATAAGATCTGCTCTCCCCCTCCTGGAGTTCACAGCCCAGTGGAAGACAGCTGAGTAGACTGGTGAGGACAGTATGAGGAATGCTCTGAGCAAGGTGGGCCCAGAGGACCTAGATTAGAAGAAAGGGCAAGAGAAGGTCAGCACCATATCCTGAAGGATGAGCACCCTGTGGGGAATGTTCTTCCCTCAGGAGAGGTTCTGGCACGATTCCCCTTCCTGTTGCAGTGGGAGATGAGTCTCTCCTCCAAGATTTGGGTCCCCTGCTTGTCCATATGCAGGTGAGGGTAACATCCCACCTGCCTCCTCTCACAGCCTTTCATTCTTCAAGGTTTTTCTGACTGCAGTATAGAGACACTTTGAGATCACTTTCATGTAAATTTTTTTTTTTTTTAGAGACAGTTTCACTTTGTTGCCCTGGGTAGAGTGCGGTGTCATCATAGCTCACAGCAACCTCCAGCTCTTGGGTTTAGGCGATTCTCTTGCCTCAGCCCCCCGAGTAGCTGGGACTACAGGCGCCCACCACAACACTCGGTTTTTTTCTGTTTCAGTTTGGCTGGGGCCGGGTTCGAACCCATCACCCTCGGTATATGGGGCCAGCGCCCCACTCACTGAGCCACAGGCGCTGCCCCACATTTAAAAATTTTAAGACAATAGAAGCCCTTTCTTGACCCAGCAGGTCAGCCACCTCCCTCTGTTCTGTTCCTACAGACATCCTGAAGGATCAGCCCACACATACTTTCGCCCTTCCCTCTTTAGACTCAGAAGACAAGCTTCCTCCCTCAGGGACAGTGCCTTCCTCTCCCAGCGCCTGTCAGGGCAGGGTGCCTGTGTTCTCCATCTTTCTCCAGAGACTTTTTCAACCCTCCACTTAGCGGGCCAGTGAGTAGCACTGATGCAGCTGCCTATTCCTCCTTCCTGAAACTCATTCCTTTGCTTCAGGAACACCAGTGAGATCTTCCTTCTCCTCCATGACCCTTGATTCTCCATGTCCTTTTCGGGAGCCCTTTCATCCTGTGTCTTTTTTTTTTTTTTTTGAGACAGAACCTCAAGCTGTCCCCCTGGGTAGAGTGCTGTGGCTTCACAGCTCACAGCAACCTCCAACTCCTGGGCTCAAGTGAGTGTCCTGCCTCAGCCTCCCAAGTAGCTGGGACCACAGGCGCCCGCCACAACGCCCTGTTATTATTATTTTTTGTTGCAGCTGTCATTGTTGTTTGGTGGACCCAGGCTGGATTTGAACCCGCCACCTTAGGTGTATGTGGCTGGCGCCTTAGCCACTTGAGCCACAGGCATCCTGTGTCTTCAGCTGCTCCTCCCTTCACACCATGCTAGTCCCCAGAAAGTTCCCACCCATGCCTTCAACACCCTCCTGTGTATGGACTCACGGTACAGGTACATGGAGTTTCTAGTCTATTCTCCAGCTGATGGCCAGCAGGAGGAGACAGCCCCCAGACCTCACTATCTGGGTGTCCCTGAGAACTCAGACTCCCTGTGCTCCACAGTGACCTCCCTGTCTTCTCCCCAGGCCCAGTCTCCGTCTGTTCTGTCAACCTGAGTGCCTGGCACCACCTACCCCATTGTTGATGTCCGAGCCAGAGAGGTGTCCTAAAAGCCTGTATTGTAACCCTCCTAAATTGGCCCCCACGCAGCCAGTCACCAGATTTTATGACGTGTCCCTGTGTGGCCCTCCCTGTCCCACTGCCTCTGCCTTATTTCTAACTCACAAGCTGTCACCTAGATTGCTGCAGTAACCTTGAAATTCCACGGTTCCCACACCTAACGGCACGATGTAAGGGTGTGTGGCGCACCTCTTAGGTGTGGGACGCTACTGCAAGAGGGACTCTACCTAACAAATGCCAACAGCGTAACTTAGTTGTTTGTACCCTCACAGTAATCTGAAATACATGCACATAAAAAGAAATTCCACAGATCTCAAATGGGTACTGGACTGGCTGTCCCCTCCTCTTGCCTTCCTTCTTAGCTTTTCTCTGGCTCCCCGGTTCCTCATCGTCTCCACCCAGGTGGGCACTTTACCAGTGACTTCTGGACATCTTGATAATGCTGTGCCTCTGGTGCCGTGTGGCTTCCAGCACAGCAACTCTGGCAGAGGGTCTGGCATCCTGAGGCCAGGTAGGGAGGGAGGTCCATGAGTCCTACACGAGTACATGACAGCTGGGGTGGGGGGAATTTGCCTCCCAGGTGAGGACCTTTTGCAAGCCCAATCTGTTGGAGAGGATCAAATATCTCCTGAGTCTGATATCTAAGCATTCCCTGAAAACCAGCTTCCAGGCCCTGAGTGCTGCTTACTGCCTCCTATGTCTGGGTTGAGTCTCCTCTGCCGCATCTCGATGGTGTCCAGCTTCGTCTGGCACCAGCAGGCTGTGCTGGGGGTGGGTGGATGGGCACACCAACCCGCATCTGGATACAGTTATGCATATTTATTATTGGTGCCTGTGCGGTAAGGATTTGTCAATTTGTCGATTGATTTTGTTTATAAGAAAATGAAATAGCATGCTTTCGTAGGCTCAGGCATTCCAGTGCAGGAGTTTGCATCTCTCCCTTTGAGGGCACACTGGAAGGGTTGTGTCTGTAGCAGACTCTCCCTTATCCCCGGCCCTCCCTCACCAGGCCATGCCATCTGTGTTTGTTTGAAAGATCTGCCTTTATCTCTGCTCTCTGGGTCCCCAAACTCATAGATCTCTCCCTCACTCCAACATTCAACCCCAAATTGACAAAGGGGGGGTCTGGAACCAAAGTGTGTGAGACGCGGGCATCCTCCATGCTGTCCACTACTCTTGTGCCCTCTCAAGTCCACCACCTCTTACCCATACCCTTGCCTGGGCTCTTGCCTGAGCTCTGGGCTGTCTCTCCCTCAGTCAGTCCCGTACTCTCATTTGTCACTGAGCAAATATGGTGGAGCACTTTCCATGCAGAACTCTGGGGACGCCAAGACAAAAAAGCTACAGGACCTGTCCTTGAAGGGCTCACAGCCCGGGACGAGAGGTGCCGTTCTGCAGATGACTCAATATAGAGCTGTGTTCATGTTACAGCTGTGTTACAAAGTGGGGATGAGGCCAGGGAAGTGGGGGGAGAGTGAGGTTAGGAGGGGCAGAGACTGGAGCTAGGCTTGAGGAGTGAGTGTTCCCCTGGCGTACAGGGCCTGGGGCCACAGGGGTGGGCAAAGGGGATAATCCCAGTGATGTCTTCCACACACCCTTGGTTACAAGTGTCATGCCCACTTGCTTCTCCTAAACACACCAGGTAGGTGCCCAGTTCCCAGCCGTTGCTTGTGCCGTGCCTCTGTTAGGAAACCACTCGTGCGTCCCCCCACACAGAGGTCTGTCTGGAAACTTTACCCATCCTTTAAGGTGCCAGCGTTTCCTGGAGCCTGTGCTGACCACCTCTTCCTCCTGGACCCTCTTCAGCATTTTGTGCTTCTGTTGCCGCTCTGGTCGGTCTCTGTTCCTTCTGTTCGTTTACACTTCCTCTTCTCCCTGCTGCTAAACCTTCCTTGAAAGATGACTTGACCATTGAACTGAACTCTCTGGGGAGCTTTTCTAAGCAAAGAGCAGAACGAAGTGTGCACTGCCTGTTCCCGTTCCTGGCTGTGTTGCTGGTATAGCCGGAGTTCTCCGAGGCGTATGACAGTGCCTGCTATTTATGTAGGAAAACCTTTGGCATTGGAAGAATATATTCAGAGGCACCTTTTCCTCTCTCTATCAATGCAGGGTTCGATGACCTTCAGGTGTGTGCTGATCCTGGCGTCCCTGAGAATGGCTTCCGGACCCCCAGTGGAGGGGTTTTCTTTGAAAGCTCTGTAACCCGATTTCATTGCCAAGACGGATTCAAGCTGAAGGGCTCTACAAAGAGACTATGCATGAAGCATCTTAATGGAACGCTGGGCTGGATCCCCGGTGATAAGCCCATCTGTGTGCAAGAAGGTACAGTGCTTACCTCTCCACGGAAGCCACTCAGGTGGCTCAGCTGGCGGGGCGCAGGGCCATGTGATGGAGAGCTCAATACCCTGGATGGTTCTCTTTGTTTCAGAGTTAAGCTGCATGCTGGCCGGAAAGTGGGAGTGTGTAATGAGGGCTGGGGTGGGGGATCAATTAATCTCTGTATTAGAAGTAATAGTCTTTCTTTTCTATCTCAATTACAATCCAATTTATCACCGTTTTTGTCAATGTAGGAGAGTGACTCAGATAACATTAGGGCTATTTATTATTAGACTGCCAACTCAGCATTCATTTCCAGGTGATTCAATAAAAAGGACAGTAAATATATTGTGTGAGAACTGATCTGGGGACACCGAAGATGTATATTACTCAGAGGATTAAATCAAATACTACTTATCAGTTCTGTGTTAGCTGTGATTCATTTAAGAAAGAACTGTGACGAGCAGTGACAGATTGACAAGGTAGACATTTATTTCCAGCAATTATCCCTAGATGTATTGGTAATGACAAGATATTCGTTAACTTCCAGCAATTACCCTACATCTGTTGGCTGGAACAGCTTTATATACTTTTTTTTCTTTTACTCTATGTAGATACATTTAGAGTTTTAAAAAATGCATTGAGCTTAACTAGTTGGAAAGTCAAATTGTTGATGGTATATCTCAGAGGATCAGCTGAAGTTGGACTAGACATGAATCAAAAATTAAATCTAGCCGCAAATTTCTGTTAGGCATAGTACTTACATATCTTTGCGTTCATGAGAAATTAGTTTCAGTTTTTCTTAATACCTATTGATTTAATTCTGGGATGGAGTTTTTATAATAATGTTATAGAAACTGTTATTCTGATTTAATATATATTTTCTTCACGAAACTTTTAACAAATTTAATCCAACAAGAATTTTTGAGGATCTATGTTCTTCCTGATGTTCTTCCTGATGGGAATTGTAAAAAATGGGTAAGATGGTGTCTTGCCCTTAAAGTATTTGATATCTTTGCTCTTATTTGGGGGATTTTTTAAAAAAGCCAAACTTAGTATAATAATGACTTAAGGTTTTTAAAAATAAATTCATTTTTTTTCTTTTGCATACAGCCCACACAAGCTATGGTTTCCCTAAGATTCTATTTAAAGTTCATTGGGTTCAAAAATTCATAGGTTTCTCTGCCAAAGTCTACGGCTTATGTTACCCAGTACTTAAAAACCAGTCATGCTCAGGAACATCAGAGAACAGAGAAAACCAAAACAGCCTTCCTGAACAGCCCAGAGGTGAACGCCTCTGTTATTTTATTGTCCTAGGGGAAAAAAAAGTTTATCACCTTTTTTTTTTTTGAGACAGTCTTACTATGTCACCCTCAGTAGAGCGCTGTGATATCACAGCTCACAGCAACTTCAAACTCTTGGGCTTAAGTGATTCACTTGCCTCAGCCTCCCAAGTAGCTGGGACTACAGGTGCCCGCAACAATGCCCGGCTATTTTTTGTTGCAGTTGTCATTGTTGTTTGGCAGGCCCGGGCTGGGTTTGAACCCGCCAGCTTCAGTGTATGTGGCTGGCATCACTGTGTGTACTACAGGCACTGAGCCAAGTTCATCATTTTTAAGACAAGCTTTTTCCGAACTCTGTACATGACTACATACTATGTGGTAATTCCAAGAAAAGGACTGAGAAATCACCTTGGAGTAGGAGGCTTCTATTATACAGATGTGCAGGCTTAGTTCTTAACACTTAGCCCCAAAAGTGCAGAGAGGGGCTGTATCTGTAGGGTGGCAGTGGGAGTCAGTGCGTTTAATTATGCACCCTAAAACAAGACTGTGTGTTTCCAAAGGCAGGCCTGGGTCTCTGCATCTGGTCCTGATGTGCTCTAATTATCATTTGGAAAGTTATAAAAACAGGTATTATTAACTCTCTAAGTATAATAGTGTATTTATTTTTCTAACTAGTGGTAATTTTGTTGGTCTTTGAAAGATGTATAAAAAGCTTGCTTTTGTTGCCCTGGTGGTGGAGAAAATCATAATAGTTCACATCCTAGGCTTTCTTATTCTAAGTGATTTATAATAGGAGGGTGGAGGGGGGACCTAGGTGTATGCTGTGGATGCCACATAGCAGTGAAGAAGCTAGACTTTCTTTTTTCTGCTTTGAAAATGGCCCTTGCTCCCTGGGCAAATAGTAAGGGCTGCTGAATTCACTTGTTTCCCTTGCCAGGTAATTCTTAGAAGGCTAATGAAGTTTTATAGTAGTAATGATAGTAATAGCAATAATAAATTATCACATTTTCATAGGTCATTAAAGTTTGAAAGTGCGTTCAGATTGCCTGTCTTATTTGTTGCACAATCACCCTATTAGATGAGCCTTACTGTTCTCATTTCCTGACTGGGAAACTGAGGCTCAGAGAGCCTCACCTGCTTTGTCAAGGTCACACAACTGATGGGTAAGCCGCAGAGCTGTAACTATTCCTGACCCAGCATTTCTTTTTCCTCTACTGAAGTCCCATTCCAGTCAGTTACACAAGAGCACTTTGGTCCGACAAATGGCATCATCCAGGTTTGGTTTTGAAGAAATTTTATAATCCAAGCCCCATTCTGATTTAGTTCTTTTTTGGCCAATAGACAAACTGAGTGTCAAAGAAGTAAGGACCTTCTTGTCACCATCCAGTCTTTCACACTGCTGGCCAGTCCTGTCTGAGACACAGATTTTAGAAAAAAAGGTTCATCTGCATTAAAAAGCTTTATGACAGTTTGCCCTCTAGAGAATGGGTGGTCTTGAGTAACAATCTCTTGGTGCTTATAGATCCCTCTCTTTTATTCCTACCTCATTCTGCCACATGGACAGCCACCCTCCCTTCTCACACAGCCCTCATTTCGATCTAAGTTGCTTTTTCCAGGTGGAATCAATGTGTAGAAGTTTGGACTCACAGAACCAGTGCTATATGGAACGAATTCATTTTATGGCACCCCAAGTCTCTGACCTGGGAGATATATCTATGCTTCTCCAGGTTTCTACAAAACTGGAGTGGGTGTGTCCCTAAGCATAGGTGAAGATGTCTATGGCCCATGGAACAGGGGAGGTGACAAATACAGTAGAGAGGAGATCCTGGAAGTGGCAAAGGACTGCAAATATGCCCCATGTGGGCACAGGGCTGCCCACGGAGGAAATACCACACGGGGTGCAGGCTGCTGACCTAGGAAATCGACACGGGGTGCAGGGCAGCTGACCTAGGAAATACTACGTACAATGATGACAGGCCAGAGTGCGAGCCACTGTCTGGGCCACTTCCTTTTTGAAACCACTCAACGAGGTAGACTTGGGGACACCTTCCCTGAGTAAAAAAACCCCTTTCCTACATCTCATAAGAAAAGGTAGAGGTGAAATTAGATTGACTTTACTTGAATTCACTTTACGCATGCTTATTCAACCCGTGTCCTGTGAAGACAAGGCAAGATGCTTCTCCCTCCCTGAAATCCTTGCCGGGGTCAGGAGTTGGCACTGCGGTGTTCAGACTTTGGTTTGCATGACAGGAAGAATTAGGATATTTGAAAAGTAAGTATTACAAAGAGCCTAAAATAAAATCAATTCGGGATCCATTTATATTATGGAGACAGAGGGGAGAAGAACCAGCCTACGTCCTGCTAAAACCTGTTGATTGTCAATATTAATGAAAATATTTCCTTACTTAACCACCTTCTGGTGTAGCTGGGCTACAGAATACATCTCACCCTTATGAAATTAGCTGTAACTAGCTAGATTGAAGTTTTTGTTTTTGGTCTTTAAACAGAGATCTAAATAGTAAATTGCATGTAGTTCTTGGGCAGCATGAGTCTTGGGCTAGTCTTGGGTTGCCCAGCTCCCAAATTCCTTCCTCAAAAGGGTGTTTACATCTTTAAAAGCCACATTTCATTGTTACACAGGTTGAGAACCGCTGCCCTAGCAGGAGCTTCAGCTTCTGGGTGGATTTAGGGTGTCCCTTGAGCACTTTGGGCACAACTTTCTCCCTAGGTAGAAAAATAAATCTCTGCTTCTGTGAGTTTCCTTCTATGGGGTATATCCTTTTGGAGAAACTAGAGCTGCTGCAGTCTTAAATTTTTATAAAATGAGGTTTTCCTGCGTGAGGACTTCTTCACAGAGCTCTTGTGAGGTGCAGAGAGACCCTTTCCCCTTTTCCTGACCATCTACCTTGAATGGGCTGCCAACACACTGGTTGCATTGGTCATTCAGTTTCAAGCCAATTTCAGATAAGTCCATATTAGGCAAATGAAGCATTTTCACAGAGCCGGAGTCTCACAGGTCTAGCAGCCAGCTTGTGTCGGTGAGAGCAGATTCCCAGAACGCCTTAAAACTGCCGTGGGGCTCTTCTAAATCCTCACAGAATGCAGCTAGGAGAGCTTACGTGGGCCTCCCCAGAGCGGTGCTCGTTTTAGAATGAACTGAACAGAAGACTCTCTCAGGAAATTCATCTTCCGCAGCTGGCCAGTCACTTCCTTTAAGCCAGGGAGGAGCAGAGGGGACGAGTAGGAGGCAGAAGGATTGTTTAAAACCACACATTTACTGTACCCTCTGAAGCGCTGAGTCCCTAAGTCACGCCCACCTTCACTCCTCACCACGAGGACAGACACCCTCCCGTACAGCCATGGGCTCTGCCTTGAAACCTGGGGACAACCTGCTGTGCTATCTGAAGAGCAAGTCTCCAAGGTGGAATTTGTGGCCACGGAGCAGGACGAAACGTGGTTTGTTCCCGTGGGACTGGCCTCCCAGCCCCAGAACAACCTCATTCAGCCCTTCAGTGTTGTCCACAGAGAGGTCCCTGCTCTAGGAGGGAGGTGCAGGCACAAGCACATGCGGTAGCCATTCTGCAGGTAGCAGCCAGCCCCAGGTGCTCCCTGGACGTTGCGGCTTCTCCCCTGCATGTCCGAGCAGGCTGTGCTCCTCCACCAGGTAGGAAAGGGAGCCCAGCAGTAGCCTGTTGTCCTTGCCTGCTTCTTTAGTGGTTGGCC